TGTCACAAACGCAAAATTTCTAAGCGGCCATAGACGCCCTCCGTGTCACAAACGCAACATTTCTAAGCGTCCTCTGTGTCACAAACACAACATTTCTAAGTGCCTATGGGCTTCCTCCATGTCACAAACGCAAAATTTCTAAGCGCCCTCCGTGTCACAAACGCAACATTTCTAAGCGTCCTCTGTGTCACAAACACAACATTTCTAAGCGCCTATGGGCGTCCTCCATGTCACAAACGCAAAATTTCTAAGCGTCCTCCGTGTCACAAACGTAAAATTTCTAAGCACCTATAGGCGCCCACAGTAGCCAAGGGGTTAATACCATGGGTGGGGTGGGAAAATGGCTATAAAAGGATAGAAAAGACTAAATTAAGACTGGATTAAAATGGAAGGCCCTGTTTTGTGGTCGACATGTATTCTTTGCTTTGCGGATATATCGAGGAAAATTTTGAAAAATTTTGAACTACCTCGTTTTATCTTTGTCTTCGTACAGTGTTTCCATCTGAACTTTCGCACTCAATTATTTCCCGAGCTATAGTTCGTTTCAGAAAATGTTTCCAGTGAAATTTAACCTGTTTCCAGAGGGACATCTTACGATGGTCATAAATTTCTGCTAGGTGGACGTGCTTGAGAACTGTATACTGTTTTTTATGAGAGCGGATGGTGCATTTCAGGGTGAATTCATTGACCTATAATACTTTGGCCGTTGAACTACTGATATGGACTACTGGTACCTAAACGTAGCGGGCATAGAGAATAACAAATAAATATATTAATTGTAATTTTATCTCGATATGAGAGTGGACGTTAATTTTCTTAAAAGCAGGCACATGATTTTAGTAATTGCAAAAAGGAAAATTCCGAAGCCAATCTTTTTATTTGAACTTATACAATAGTTCTAGTGCCAAAGTTTATTATTGTTGCATATAGTTATAATTTTTGTATTTAATTCCTGAGAATTTTACGCGAATTGTGAATGAAATTCTGTCAATTGCGAATTTAACATTCCCTGTAAATAAAATAGGAATTTTAAGTATGATTTGGTTTGAAGCATCTAAGTAGGTTTGGTACCAAAATGTGGTACCACTGTACCTGTCAGCATATACCTGAGGAATCTGAAACCTCGTATTTCTCAAAACCTACGATCCACAGAAATAGTACACGATATCCCGGAATTTTTTAAAAAAGAAAAAATGAATTATATTTTATTATTTTCTAAAAAAATAAAAGCCTGCGAACGAGATATCGTAATAATCGTAGTTCGAACGAGGAGCGAAAGGGAATTTGAGGATATTATCACGAGAAATAGCGCGAATTTAATCGAAAAGCAGCCCTGTAAGAAACAACGTTTAATTAATGCGAATTCGAACTCTCGCTTTGACATGGCAGCTGGAAATATCTTCAAAGAGATAAAATTAAATGCTTCGACTGAGCTCGGTGCGTTCGAAAATCAGTTTACGTTATTCGCGTAGTACGCAGCGAGTGTGTTTAATTATTAATGTTCAGGTAATTCATCGCGACGGAAATTAACAGAGAATGTTACGGATGTACAGTCGTTTCTATATTTGTCCCAGAGTCATCTCTAAGCGAGGCGTTTGCGTTTAATCGTTTATGTAAGTTCCAACGACGCAGACGGATTTTATTGAATTATTCTTCTCCAAACAATTAATTTCGATTCCGTGGATTACAGTGCGTAATTTTCGAAAATATCAATTATCGCTTAACTAGTATCCAGCAGCATTTGCACTTCGCGTTGAATTTTCTAAATTTCATAAATTAATCTCATCGGAGACTTTAATTAAATTACCGTTCCCTTTGTTTTCTTTGCTTGCACAAATTTATTACACTCGGAATTACGTTCATTTCGCGAATGACGAACGAACGTATCGAGTTTCGATACCAAAATATATTTAAACGTGGGATAAATGATAAACGTGGGACAGGTATACATAAATGCAGAGCGGAGAGGAGTCATTTTTACTTTCCATATTGATCGAAACGAAAGGTAATAGATAGAACTGAATTGCAGATTGAGAGGTCTCGTCCCAATATTTCTCTTGACTTTGTTCACAAATTGGGAATAGAAATTAAATCGAACGCCGGCTAACGAAGCGGATGGTACTAAAACGGCCTTGAACTTTCGCCCTAATTCGGTGGTTACACGTATCCGCTGTGAAATGCGAAAATTGCGTTACGTTCCCGAAATACGAGAACATCAACGAATAATTAGCCAGTGATACCGTTACTGTTATGCGCAATTTACCATTCGGTAATAATCATTTAAGAAACAATAATAACTCCATCGTTTCAAGCGATATCTCGGAGGGCTTCGTGCAAGCTCGCATTACGGAATTCGAAATTGAACGTTGCGAACTCGATATTCGATATTCAAAATTAAAAAAAAAAAAACGAAGACCGAAAAATTCGCGGGCAATATGGAAAATTAAAAACTAAATATACAACGTGGACTTAAAAATCCGAGACTCGAAGTTTTTAATTTAAAAGCTGAAACTCGAACAATCAAACGCTATCAAAGATCCTGCATTCAACGATCCTTTCTGCCTGTTTCACAAACGCTCGCGAATCAGTTCAAAATCCGCGCACTCGCGTTTCGATAGCCGCGATCACTGGTCCCGGGGAAAAGTTAGGAAAAGGGATACGCGCAGAGAAAACGAGCAAAAAGAAAGTAGTTTGGCCCGAAAAATACACGGAAGCTGAAACCGTGGTGAAAAAAAAAAAGAAAATAAAAGGAATAAAAGGAAAAATAACATCATAGAACGCGGGGGTGGTACAAGGATCGTAAACGAAGGAAAACGAAAAAAAGGAGGGAAAGTAAAAGGAAATAAAAAGAAAGAAAGAAAAAGGGAGAAAGAGAATGACTAGGGAAACAAGAGCGATAAAACGTAAAGTACAAGTGGAACAATGGCGGAGTAAAAACGCGAAACGAGAGAATAAAGGCGACCGGTTCGGTAAGCTCGCGTGGATTTTGTGGACTCGCGGTTTCGCGAGCACACTTCGTTCGCTATCGATCGTTCACCTAATTCGATCGCGCCGCGTGTCGCCTAATGAACTGTTCCTCCGTTCTCCGCGATTCCGCTGCAAATTCTCTTTGCAGTTCGCTCCTGACGAGTTAATAAAATTGTCAAACGAACGTCATCCGGTGCTCTCTGCCGATCGAACTTCGACATTAAAGCGCGTTTCGCGCTCTCGCTTCCCTTATCTCCGCGTTCCGCGTGAATTCGACCGTGGAACGACATCTTTTATGTTTCAGACCACGAAGGAAAACTGCATCCAGGCTTTTAAATGGAAAGAGAGAGAGAGAGAGAGGGGGGGGGGATAGCAAGTGGATTTTTAATTCGATGAGAAAAATATCGTGCATCAACAATGGAGAGTGAAAATCGGAGGCCATCGACTTCCGCTCTGTATGTATTTTTAACTCGCGATTAATTAAAAGTTCAAGGGCTTAAATAGAAATTGCTTATCGTTAAAAGTTATCCTGGGAAATTTTGAAGTTATCCTGGGGAATTTAGGTAACTAGCTTTTGATGAACTGTCATTGCACAGGGACTGGAATTATTCCGTGATTGTGAATATTCGAAATGGCGGTAAAGAATCGGAAACGCAGGACAGGTGTCGGTAATTATAAAAATGGCGCAAATTATTTAAGATCCGTGCTAGGATATTAAAAGATCGTGTCTTGAAGATGAAATAATTGATCGTTCTATGCGGTTACAAGATAAGTACATGCAACAGCATGAAATTTTGTAACTTTCCTGACTAGGAATACTCACTGATGAAAGTTGAGAAAGGAAGTAATGATTTTTGTATCGAATTTTTGTACATTCCTTGTCTTGCGAGATACGTTGCTTGAAATTAAAAATGGGCTCTGTACGAAACATTATTTTTAATTACATTGTACATATTAACACTAGATTTAGGGGACCCATCAGTTTTACAGAGGGGTTATTCTAATTAATTTATACTAAATCTGTTAATATCGTAATTGTTTTTAAATTAAAATAATCATTTATATTTTTAAGGTAAACACGAACTTTCCTTTATCTGTCAATTTGACAGGTGTCCGTAAAAAATAGTTATATCAAAAATGTGCAAGTGCTAGTGTTAAAGGAAATATAGGTTATGTAACAATTTCTAGCTTCCTTTTAAATAACTTTCATCAGTAAGTACATACATATATCCTGTCCTACAAACTAATAATAATTAATATACCTGACTTTACCTACTAACGTATAATTAATACTGTAGGGGTCCTTCCCTGTCATTACTGTTAGTCGTTTGACAGTAAGAAGCCTCGGTAGTGCTAGAAAGGTTGAAAAGTAAAGGAAGGAATGCATCTCGACTTGGGCCTGCTAGTGAACTCATCTGTAAGGCTACCTAACAGGCCCTGACTTCGACGGGGACTATTGGAAAGCTTGCAAATCGAATATATAGCAAAAGGAGGATTTTTACCGAGGACTTGCCAGAAAGTTTTCATCTATTGACGAAGATGAGAATGATGCCGCCACAATACTAAAAATCAATTTCAAATAGTCTGAATTCAGTATAATTAATACTGTGAGGTTCCTCCCTCAACGTTACCATTAGTCGTTTGGCAGCAGATATCCTTGGTTATGCTAGAAGGGATGAAAGGTGAAGGAAGGAATGCATCTCGACCTGGGCCTGCTAGTGGACTCATCTGTAAGGCTATCTAGCAGGCCCTACCCCAAACAGGGACTATTGGAAAGCTTGCAAATCGAATATATAACAAACGAAGGATTTTTACCGAGGCCTTACCAGAAAATTCTCGAACCCCCTTCAAGTATGAATCTATCTATTGACAAGAGTGAGGATGATGCCGCCATAATATTATACTATAGATCAATTTCAAACAGGCTAATCTAACCCTAAACTCCCTCGCAACCATAAACGACGTGCCCAAATCTCACATACACGTATCGAGCTGCGTAAGCGATATTTGAAAATCGATCACAAGTTTCCTACCTGGCATTGCTGTGGTCCCTGTCGGTTGGGCGACGAAGCCTTCGGTCTTGGTTTCTTCACTCCCAACTTTCCAGGATCCCCGCCCCCAGGTCTCGATTCCTCGCTGCTACCTGAAACCAAAGACCAGATCTATGAGCCGCTAACTTCCTCGTGGCCCGATATATCCCGGTAAATCGGAACACGCCAACCCCCCGGATGAAAATCGCGCGCGCAAGAAACCCCTTTTCCTGTTCCGGCTGATCGACGACGCAACCATTACCAGCACACCGTCCCGCTCGATGTTTCGAGATTCCCGATCGAGAATTTCTTGCGACACCCCGCGAGAGATCTCGCCTGCACGTACACGCGCCATTTTCTTCGCCACGATCGATCGCTCGATGGAACGAAGCGAGTGTTTCTTCGAGGCTTCGACTTATAGAAGATTGATTGCCCGTCGCGTCCCTTTTTGCAATCGGTAGACAGGATATACTTAATGGCCGATTGGCCCGTCAGCACCGATCGATGCCGCGATGAACAAACGATCCGAGGTATCGACTGTGCGCGGTTCAAAAAATGTCAGACCTATTTTAAGTTCAGCGGGACTATCTCTGAACACGGTAGATGATCCTCCTCTGCTTTATTCTGGGGTTGTTAGACGAATAATCAGTCGTGGTACACATGAAGCAGAATGTTGCGTCTCGAACACTGCAACTCTCACAGTGGGAGTTTCGCGGGGTTGTAAGGCCCGTTTACACGGATGCGACAATGTTGCTGGGATGCGGCCTATTCTAAATTAATAGAGGTAGTCCTGGTTAGGGGTGAACTAAAGAGTTCCGATGCGTGACTGTCTCTCATGCTGAGTTGATCGTCGTGGGTCTGTCTTGACAGTCTGGTCATGATGCTTGTCTCGTCTTCTTGGGATTTCTAGGAGAACTCTTTCGTGATTGCTGTCTCGGTGGTTTTATAAGTTTTGCATGTCTACTGATTGGTTGGTGTGGAATGTTAGTGGTGTTCCTATTGGTTGTGAACAATATTGGGGGTGTGTGATAGCTTCGACGTCTTTCCACGGTGGTGGATGTTTAAATAAGTTGGATAACAAGTCACTCTATCGTCTTGTGGGTGATTTATTGATCCTTGCTAAGGTTCACCCAAGTGATGACTAGGTGATAACGAGTGTACACGAATCAGGGGACGTTGGAAATAAGGATATAAACAGTCCTTCGCTTAACTCGGGACGTTCTGTCCTTGGGCCGAGGGGAATTGAATATGATTCTCGTTACAACTGTAATTATCATCGTGTCATCGGCTACGGTATTGTTTTACTTAACTAAGATTCGTGCAACGAGATATTTCTTTAGATCCAAGCTTCCTAGATATTTATCAGACGAAGACATCGGCCCAAGTCGAATTAATCTCCTGATCACCGAATTGCAACAAAAGTCACACTCCTCGTTACCACCGCGATCCGGCACCCCCTCATCGAGAGTCATTACGATTGAAGAGAGGGAAACATTTCTCTCTGGCAACAAGAGACGACTCCGGCGTGCTCGGGGGTAGGGGGCATTTGCATAGAACGGCAGCGAACCGCGAGGCTCGCGAACTAAACGCGGGTTTCCCTCGATTGTGACCGTTCACGGGGCCATTGTGTCCTTCGACAATAATAACGCGATTCGGCCTCGAAAGAGGGTGGACGGCCTGCCACGGCTTCGAGTTTTACTCGAAGAAAGGGAAGCACGCGGCGCAAAGTCCCTCGAGTCCGCGCGGACATTTTCAATTATGGCGGACACATCGCAAAGAACAAAATGGAGAGGCCTTCTCTGACCGGAGATTGTGCTTGGCAAGCCTCATTTCCGGCCGAGGAGCAGCCCTACTACTCCGATTTACTTTCAAGGAGAGATACGCTCTCCCTTTGCCTCTCTTCCGCCACCTGGCCGCCGTTGAATCGTCGCTGCTGGCCCAGCAACACCTGCGTTCGTCTTCCTCCGTATTTGGCCAGCTTCCTCTTTCATCCTTGTTTCATGGCGAATCTAATTAATGATTGTTCCAAGAACGACCATCCCGCCGGAATTCTACTAGACACGGATCGTTCTGCTTTATTTTCAGAAGAAGACAGAGAGAAAGCTCGCCTTGTGCGCGATTTAATTATCGCCGTACCGAGAAGTCGTCAGACGAATAGACGTCTTCGGCCATTCGCGAGGACGTTCTTCTTTTTCTCGCGCTCGAGATTAGAACGGCCATGCGAAGGAACACGTGAATGGTAATTGGAAAGGATAATTGCACGGATAGCCGTTGCATTCGGCGAACGAATCGAATTTTCAGCGTTAACGAAGAAGTACGGCGACAGGTGTTATTCATTCTCAGCTGAGCTACTCCGGAATATATCGGTAAACTGACACCACCGCTTAAAATTGCATAATAGAATTGTACAATAGTTACAAACTATCTACGTCTTGTGAGACGTATCTATAATCGCACATATTGTCGCGTTCACAATTTTCTAATAAATAATGAACAAAAATTCTCAACCTTTTCCCTTGCACATCACCGGCCAATCTGTGATCAAGACACCGTTTCCTGGTAGCTTCTATTCGCTATAGTATGCTATAATACACCAACTGTATTCGTAATTCGTAATTCGCTATAGTATACTAATGTAGCATACTATAATATAGTAATCGTTACCAATACGATATCAGCTGCGGATCTACGATGTATCGTATTACACCATGCTCTCAAATAATTCTAAAATATTTCAACGAAATCGTCGAGATATTATTCTCGTTAACGCGTTTGCACGACCATCCGACAATACCTCGCAGCACCCGGAATTCGAGCAACCCCTACAAGACGAATCACCCAAGAGCATCTCTCCCTGTCCTCGTACCTCGTAAAATGCCCCTCGACAGAAGGAACCCAACCCCGGGACCACCCACCGCCGACATCCAAGAAGAATCCAATTACAGGATCTTCCAACAATCAACACGACAACTCTCCACGCGACGATCGTTCCCTCCTCTATAACGCAAACATCCCAGCGGCCGCTGTCGGCCATTCCGACCAAGGGATAGCCGGGTTCCTCGCGAAACTTTCTAGCCTTAAAATAAAAGATTCCTCGTCGAAGACGCCTTAAGTACACGCTTCGCCAGCCTCCGCCACACTGCCGGAACTTTTTTCGTCGCTGTCCCGGAAGTCAACGGGGCGCAGCGACGAGGTAAACAAGTCGCTTTTCATCACCTTCGACGGACTGAGAGTCGTATTTACCGGAAGAAGCGAGCTCGCGCTCGCGCGCCGGCTCGTCCCAGCGGCGCAAACATCGGCCGGAAGATAAATGTGTATACACCGAACTTTAATAATTTTGTCTTCGACCGTCCCTCCGCCCACGACAACGACGACGACGACGCAGAGCGGCGTAGACGACGTCTCGTGACATCGAATCCACCGTTAATAGATTCCTCTTTCCGCGGCGCAGTCACGGTTTCATCCGGCCGCAATTTAATAAATCAACGGCTCTGTCTTTGATGCGGTGCATACCGGGCGAATTTGATAAACGAGCCGCGCCTCGCGTCCTCGCGCCGAGTAATTCGCTCGACCGGAGCTGAATTCGGCGCCGACGCCGCGGAATTTTCATGCCCACAGCGCCGCGGCTCAGCCGCGATACACGCTCCGGCCCTCAATTATAGTTCGTGTGAGCGAATCCCGGGACCAACTTTCGATCGCGCGCGAATTCGAGCTTCGGTTTCGGTTTGGGGTGGCTCCACGCTTAATTATGGGGAGAAATAAGTTGCGACCAGCGAGCAGTCGGGTAGCGGAGACTTTGAAGGAGGGTAGCCGAGAGACGGTGGTGATTCGATTATACGATGCGACAAATCGTCTCGAATATTTTCTAGAAGCTGCCAAATTTTGGCAAGCTTCGTAATCCGATTGAACCTCGTACCTGACGCGGTTACGTCCAATTTGTACCAGGATTTTTCGAATTTTCGAAACGTTCCATTGACGTCAGACTACGTGATTAAGTGACTCTCGCGATGATACTTATAGTTGCGAAAACAAAGTTGTCGAATAAAATATACATACGTAATCCTCATCCCTGTGATCAAACTTCTTCGACCTGGGTCCGCCCGCGGAGATAGCGAATCCGAAAGCTCGATACGATGCAAAGTTCGCGAGAACACCCGACACCGGAAAATTACCCGGCATCTGCCATGGAAGTCTCTCCCCCTGCGCGTACTCCCGATCGATCAGCGTAAACTGTCGGATCGCGCGAGGAAGCCGACTCGCTCCGCGCCGCTATTTAATTCGCGAACGCGTCGAGCAATTTCGCGCGGAGCCGCGGGCGGACCCGTGGAGGATCGCGCAAACATAACGCCTCTGCGATCGTTGGTTTAACGTGTGTACGCGTAAGCCGGGCGCAGAAGGTGTCAGCCGCAACCGGGGATCCACGGGCGGCGGCGGAGGCGGCGGTGGCGGCGGGATGCGTTTGTAATTCCATTTACCACGTAAGTGGATGCTGCAACGCGCAGACGGCATGCTTAATAAAGTGTACTTAACCGAGTACCGGGGCTGGTACGCGACCTCGTCACGATTGCATTCGCCCCTCGTATACCCGAGGGCGCCGGAGTTTCGCCCTTTCCTCCTTGGCTCGGCGTGTCTCAGAAAGCGAAGCGTCACGACGACCACCACCACCACCACGAGGACGAGTGTGCATAATTGCATCGCCGATCGTGGCAAACACGCACGTGCGATCCTCTGTGCAACTCCTTCGCTCCGTGACGTTCTAAATGCTCCTCAGAGGAGGGTCTCGCGTTAACGCCAAGGTTTAAACGGTGTTTTGATATCGAGGTGGCATTCCGAGTTGCGCACGAGTAAGCCTGATTTTTTGCTTCCACGGGTTTTCATTGTACGTGGGTAATAGGAGTGCCAGATGAGCTATATACTGATTTTTCTTATTAACGCGTCGACTGTCGAGTACTTCCCACATTGTACACTCGGGGGGGCATGACAAAATTGATATTATTCTTAGAATGCAGCGACGAATTATTAAAATATATGGTAAGGGAAATTGAAATAGCCAAAATTATCGATCCCCTCTATTTACTTGCTACTTTCACAAATATGGATTTAAAAAATTAGT